GCAGGATGACAATGATGTCTTACAAAATATTGTAAACAATGCAGAAACAGTTTTTGTCTTGCAATGCATTATGTTAGAAAAGTGACAGAAATCCCAGCAACTCAATCCTTTGATGTGCTGTGCACATCCAAACCCCATTGGAAACAGAGAACTGGAATTAGAATATAAAACAGGTATGGCTAATTCTTTCAAATAAAAAAAAGATTAATTTTCCCTTTAATAGTACCATAGTGTGTTGTATGATAGTTCCTGGGTTCCAGTAGGCAATTTTTTATAATGTAGTAGAGAAGTGCCTGTCCACAGTGTGAACACCATTCACAAGAAGTCAAAGATTCCCTGGCAAGTGCAAAAGAATGGAAATTAAGTGCTTCATGCTACTTCTGTAATTGAAGATCCCCACACTGATACCACATGCAGCACACAATTCACTGTCAGCATTATCAAACCTCTAATCACACTTGCAGTGCTATTTGAGCTCCTTTACTTAACAATTCCCAGCTGAGGGCATTCCATATCATTGCTCTCATTCCATTAGTCAGTTCTGACCCAGGAGTCATGTCTTCAGAAATGGCCAGGGTGCTAGAAGATACTCATGCTAACTTCTCAAAAGAAACTGCTGGAATAACAACAGCATTCAGTGTAGCAGATGTCGCTATTTAAAGAGGATAAATACATATTCCTAAATTTCCAACAGGTTTTTTACAGTAAAAGCCCAAGGCATATTGCAGTAGTCACATCATAGCACCTGCAGAGATGAGGTCATAAGACATCCATCACACAGAGCACAGAAGATACTGGAAAGCAGATATCCCTCATTACATCTATTTCCAAAGCCCCAGGGAAAGGAGAGGCAAGCACCAGGCACATCCATCTCTCCTGCTCTGGTTCTGGGTCAGTTCCTTGGCACAGCCTCTCAGCATCCTCACGACACCCTTCCCCACTGATGGGGTGGGGTTGTGGTGGGTGTTTGCCAGGGATGAAACACACACCCTGCCAGATGACAGGAGCAGCACTTTGAGCACTTGGGGCTCACAAAAGTTTTTGTCTCTAGCCTGTTGTGGTGAGGAACGTGGGGCTGGCCATGGCACACACGGTGGTGTGGGTGAGCTCGTAGTGCTGGCAGTGACAGCTTCAGAGCATGTGCTGGAGGGGGGAACAGTGCTGGCCTTGGCACTCAGAATGGAAATAGCAACAGGACGTGACTCCAACATCACCTACCTAAGCTCAGACAGGTGCAATCCTGCTGCCTGACTCAGCTGTGGCAGGTTGTAGGGCAGGGCAGCAGCTGGGACACCACCAAGCTCCAGAAAAGCCAAGGCCTTTACCCAGACTCTAAACAGTGAGCTCTTCATTTGCATCAGAAGTAAAGACATTCATTTGCATCACCCTCACTGTATTTTAAAAGCACTTTTCAGCATAAATTTCACTTTAAAGTTCAGTGCAAATCAAAGCTTCTTGATGTGACTGAGTTCTGTCCTTCTCTCACATCCCTCATAGCAAAATACCTACATCAAGACACTTCAAATTATAACACCACTAGATGCCATTTCTCATCTCATGAGATCATGAGCATCCTTTACTAAATGCTTGTTTTATATTTACCTCCTGCATGTTGATACTTCATCATGATTTCAGGTAGCATTGCATTTAAAAGACAACATTATACATCAGACTTTTATCAAGCACGGCCAATTATGCAAATTCCTCCAAAAATTATTTTCAAAGAAAAGAAGGATTGATTACAGAGATTTACCATTTATACAGACAGTGATTTAGGAGGGTATTTCAATTGCTAATATGCCTAACAAAGATGTGGGATTTGTTTGTAAACTTCAGGCCTACAAAATTGAATGTCAACACCAGATAATTATCATGTCCTATCCAAAATGCTAAACTTAATCGAAATACTCTTTGTAGTAAATCAACAGTCAGCATTACTCTTAATGAAAGTTGATTATGATACTGCCTGTATGTACAAAATAAGTACCAGCCACACAAGTACCACGTACCCCAAGCAAAAACAATGCATGATTTCTCATCACTGCTGGGCACAAGGGGTATGACAATGGCATTGCATTTGGTCAGCTCCACAGATGTTGGTGCTTAGGTACCAAACTCACCTGGATGAGGCCCAGATTCCATATTTAATTATGGCCTCTCTGCTCAAGTATTAATTCAGGATACCATACACTCTTCAGCTTCCATTCTTCTCAGGAAGACAATTTACAGTAACTGATTAAGTATTTCTTTCAGCAACATCTAATGATGTTCACCTAGAAGAATTGTAATACTACTACTAAACCTTTTCTATGTTGCCTCATCCTTCTCTTTTTCCCCATTCTCTTCTACCTTGTTGTCTCTCCTTGGCTTTCCTCTCTCTTTCCCTGCTCTAATCTTTTTTCAACAGCTCAGACATTAGAAATCAGTGTGTTGAGGTTGACTCTTGCAATTTCATTAGGGGTACTCTGTGCTACTGTAAGCTGATTTCTCACTTCTGAGACCATCCTAACTTGGAAATACAACAAATCTACATGTTGCTTTGTACAGAGACTTCCTGTTTAAATTGCTAGTCTCTCTCTGGTGTTAAGATCACAAAGAAGAGCAATTTAAAGTGCCACAACAGAGGAGCAAACATATATCCTGTTTCCATGATTTTTAAGGCAGTCAAACCCTGTCTGAACACAAATACACCTTTCCTGGCATTTATCTTCTGAAAATTTTGAGTTTCATACCAGGAAAGAATTCTCTTTAAATTGTGAGGCTTCCACAAATATTTCAGCCAAAATCCAAGACGGTTCGCTTCTCAAATGCTTTTATATGACTTACAGGAACTCCTATTTCATTGCTATTCATTCCCCTTCTCTTACAACGTGGTTTGTGGGACATGCCTCCTGTGCTGGCCTATGAAAAACATCCAAATCACCCAGGAAAAACTGCATTGTGCAAGTTTTGATGTGCAGTTTGCAACACCCAAGAGTCTTCTGGTTTATCCTGCACTCATGTCAGACCACACAAACTTACCCAATCCTAACCTACATACCTCTTGCCCAAAGTGGGTGGGAAGATGCCTTTTGCACAGTAGCCAGTTTACAGATTAGGAGATATTGTTGTGAAAATACTTCCTAAGCCATCCCAAACATTTTGTAATTCCATGGCTGGAATACCAGGATTCTAATTTACCAGAATAAAAAAGGCAAGGCAAGCTCTGGTTTTTGCAGTTCTACCATCCACCAGAAAGCAAAATAAAAAACTCCAGGAATTACTAACAACTTCCAAATTACCTCAGGAATAGACATTGCTGTGTTAGAAAAGTGTAGGGGGGATTATAAGAGTGTTTATGGCTTTCACTAGGAAGCCTCAACACACTGCAATAACAGTTAGATGCAGTTTCTTAAATAATTAGATCATAACACATAAACAAGCAGCTGCATTTTAAGGCATGGTATTTGCATTTGTTCCACAATAATAAATACATTTGCCCCATTCTATTTTAAGGCTTATCTTTCATAAAAACAGAGAAACCCAGTTACAAAATCAACAACACAAAAATAACATAACTGTTGGGAGCAGAGGGGACCCATATTTCCCTGCTGCCTCCATGGATAAAAAATCCATCTCACCTGGTGGGTCCTCTGTGAGGCCTCAGAACTGGGACATGCAAACAAGTTTGAGTTGCAGTTGTTGTTTTCAAAGCTATTTGCTCTTCTCTCCCTTCCCACTATGCTGTGCCAACATTTGATCCTTCCACCACTCCATGCCACGTCCTACAGGCTCCCTGTGTATTCCATGTCTGTTGGATACGGGCTGTTCCTCCTGCTGTGTGCCATAAACAAAGAATCTGCTCTTACTCAAAACAGTTTATTCTCCCAGTAGGAACAAGACATAACAGAAAGACAATATTAAAATAGACAGCGTTAACATATGTCTCTTACTTGGAGATTGCTGTCTCCTGGGGATAGCCAAGGCAGCCTTCATTTTCCAAAAACCCAGGGAAGTGTGTGCACATCTAGGACATCTCCCTCCAGGACTCCCTTGTGCTGGGCAAGAAAATCCTCTGATCTCCCACAGGAGAGGGATTGACCCCTTTCACATCTGTGGCTGCTCAGTGTTTCCTCCTCTTTAACCAAACAAGTGGAATAAGTTAAAGAGGAGGTCAGTCTGGAAACTTGAGGTCTCTGCTCCACAGCAAGCACCTGCCATCCCAAACACTCCTCTTTTTTCCCCATCCTGTCTGTCAAGAAGCCCCCTTTTAAGTAAATTCACATGTTTCTACAGTAAAGGAGCATTACCTTGGCCAACAAGGTATTCCCTAGTTGTGCCCAGCTATCACCACAGCTGTACCAGAACCATTCCTGTTCCTCATGCCTACACTAAGTGTCAACCCCAAAACTTTCTTCTTCTGACAATGAGAACACAAAACAGAAAAGCACAATGGCTCTATGTTATAGATGATGCTTTTTAAATACAGACATCAAGCACCAGAAAGCCAAGAAACTGTCATTTTTAACAGGCTAGAACTGGTGGTTTTGTCAAAACCACTAGGAAAGTTACAAAACAAATAGATGGTGATGCAATACTCTTAGTGCTTCGAGCACTGTGGTTTGATAACAGCATCATCTCCCCTCACTTCTCTTTCCTTGAAAGATTTTAGTATCCTGTGATACCTGCCTTCTCCTTTTCAGTCTGTGTATCACTCTCCTGAATTATATGTGCATATTCCAGCAAATAAGGGGAGAAAATTGCCTTCTGTTTGCCCTTAAGCTATTTACAGGTCAATTTTAGTGATGGACATGAGAACTAAGAGTTTGCCTGAGGGTTTGAGTTCCCAGCTCCTTCTGACTTCCAGGCAGTCCCCAACCCCTTTGAAATTCACAGCAGAGTTACCATTTCAAACAACGTTCCTAACGTTCTTTAAACAAAAGAAATCATACAAAAATCCTCAAAACTAAAATGTGCCTGTGTCAAACAATTTATGCAATTCTCAAGAAATGAAAACCGAGTGAAAATATGAATAATTGAATAGGACTGTGTTTCCTAAAGTCTCATGGAATATTTCCTTTGTCTGAAGCTCCCTGGGGCCTGTGCTACTGAAAACACTGTCAGTTAAAGCTCTTCCATTCTCCAGGAGCTGCCTCAGGAGTGAGAGCACATTTATCTCTGTTGTCACACCCCCTCTGCTGAGAACTCATCTCCTGGCTGCCACTCTGTTTGGGACACCTGGAGGACCATGAGGTCACAGCAGCAGCTAAAGGAGCAACAGCAGCACTGAAAGAAGGGAAATGCCAACTCTTCTCTGGTAAGGATTTCCTGGTGAGAAGCAGTGTGAGAAGGCAGCAGGTTTGCATTCTGGGCTTCAGCACACACAAGCCCCAGTGCACACAGGAGCACCACATGGCAGCATGAGAACTTCAAAATCCAGGTTCTTCTGTGAAAATACACCACAAAAATATGAATTACACCTTGGGATGCCCATGGTGGGGTGCCACAGCTCGGATCTGCCTTCTCACCACCCAGCACACAGCCACACAACAGCTTAGCAAAGCTTAAGGTAATACTTATGCTGAATAAATCATCAATAGGAAATTGTACCGAAGGCAGAAATACGTGTAAAAATTCAGCTCTCCCCAACCTGCTGAGACACACAGGGAAACTCACACAAATACCTCACAAAATCCCAATTGCATCAAAAAGTAACCAACCCCTTAGGCCACCATAACCAAGGGTGCTTGATACATGTCATTTCCACTGACTTCATCAAAGAGGAAAAAATAATCTAAAAATTGGTTTAGCTCAACTGGTGAGGAAGATACCAACTGCCAGACAAGGAAGGTGCTCTTTTTATAAATACAGACAGTTCTTTTCTTTTTACCACTCAGTTGTTTTTCCTTGATTAAAAGGGAAAGATTTTCTCAATGTGATTCCTGAAACTTAGTGGTTATTAAACTCAGGATGATCCAGAAGTGCTGTACAAGCACAAGTCAAGTACTGGCTGTTCCCTTTTATGATAGCTGAAGACCTGGTCTCAAGTCTTTTTTGTTACTAAAATAAAAAGTGAAATATTACTGAGAAATTTCTACTGTAGTCCCATTTCAAAGAAAATGGTTTTTGTAGAAATTAATTCTTATTTTATTTTGGGGTCCAACCCATTTCTTCCTATGTCAGTATTGTTTTCTAAATGTCTGAATTTTAAAAGAAAAATCCATTCAGAGGAGGCTTTTGTTTTATGCTGTCTCATCTCTTTTGGCAACAGTTACAGAAACTGGAGAGTTGCTTTTTTCTTGGTTTGATTTTGTTTTAAAAGAGAAACTGTTACCAATATGTCACTGAGAATTCATTTAACAGAGCCCTCAATGAGTATATTTAAAGGGGAGAGTAAGAGATTGTAAGAATGAAGAATGTGAAAGAATTGTCATTATGTTGGTGTAAGCAGCTATGCATCATTACTTAGCTTAACAACTGAACTATAAAAAAAGATATAGCAATATCTTTATAGCAATAAACATATTTTGTGAGACATAATTCTATGTACCTGAGACACGACCCTCTTGGGTAGAGCATGAATTCAGATTATGGAAATATTACTTACTCCTGAACACTTCCTAAATGTCTCCAGGAAAACAAAACATACATCTCTCCAGCAATATTGACAGAGTTATTATTAAATATTATATGGAAGTAGCTGTAAACAACCTAGTATGACAGAGTGTGCTCTACGTAAAAGATTGTGCACACATTACTGGAAGGGAGAAAAAACACAAAAGCAAACCAATTGAAGGAGTCTTCTGACATCATCTGTTTGCTTTTTTTTAATGTGAAAAATTTGGCCTCATTGATCGTACAAAGCATTTAAACCCATATTTCAGAGCATGGCCAGCACCCTGCCAGGGCTCAGAGGCTGCAGGGATGGAGCAGGGTGCTCTCACACCTGAGGAGGTTACAAAAGGCACTTTGCTGTCTTTCCCCCTTGCACTCACTGGCATAAGGAGCAGCAAGGCTCCCAGGAAGATGTGCCAGATTAGTTTTATATTGCAGGGTATGGGTTAAGCAGAAAACCAGTGGTCATTGGGAAGCTTATTAAAAAAGAAGTCAAAGTGTTGCCAGTGGTTTGGTTGACAGCCCTCCAATCTGAGTGAGGCAGCACTTTCCAGGTCCCACTGCCTTCAGAATGGGGTAGGAGAGAGGCATTGAGAGCTGCTTCTCCCAGCCCAGCTCTGGGAGCCACTCTGCTATTCAGAGTGTGAGGATAAACCTGCAAATTTCTGACCTCCTCCATGATTCACACCACGAGAAGCTGCTACCTGTGTACTAGGAGTAGCATTTGCAGATTGGTGTGGTTTGCAAGGCACTGAGACCCTGCAATTTGACAAATTCATGAGGCACTATCCTTTCCATGGCCCTCTCCCCATCTCTCCTGTGCTTGGTGTCCTTGGTGCTTCCCCACCCCAGCAGCAGGGCAGGCAGGGAGCTCGAGCCCTCGTGCCACTCACCTGCTGTCACCTTGAGAGAAAGCTGTAAAGGCTGGAAATAAACACATTCCCTCTTCTGCACATCAGGTTTCGTTACTTTTACTCTGCTGATCCCCACCTGGCCCTCGGATAAAAGCATCATCTCTGTACAGCAAGTTGGGAAAGTAGCACAGGGAATGAGCCATGGTTTGAATGGAGAGCTCTGCACCAAGGATTTTGTGTCTCTCATCAGGGAACAGGATCTGTGGTGACTCAGGTGAGCCAATCAACATTGCTCAAATTACACTAAATTCATCCAACTTAGCAGTGAGCCCCTGATGAAGAATTAGTCAAATAAGTTATAAAAGGAAATTCGAATGCATCAACTACTGCCACCTGTTTGCAAGAAATTTATGAACAAAAATGAAGTTTCATAAATAAATTATTCACAAGTTATCTCCCCATTGCTTTTCATTAGCTTTGCTAAAACACACTTTCATCTCTTTCCCTTGCAAATCATTTGGACAGATAAACCTTTTCACTCAACATATTTTAACTAAACAGTAATAAATCCTGAGCAACCAAGCAGGCTTTATGCTAAGAAATCAGTGCCTATCGTAGTCTGTATATAACAATCTAGGTTTCATTTCTTTGCTGAGCAAAACCAATTCCATTTCCAGAATGCCATCACTAGTAACAGACATTTAATAGGCTGGCTTTCTCCAATAAGCTGTATCTTTGAAATAAATCTTGCTGACTCTAATGCTTATAGAAACACTATCTGGGTGTGCTGTGAGACACTTCTAATATCTACATCCCAAAACACCCTTTCCAATTTTGTGGCAAAGAAGCCTTCATGAACAATATCGAATTCAGTCAATCAGATTATTGCATTAAGAAGTCTGTGTCTGGCTGCTGGAAGGCAGCCCAAGTTTCCTCTGACTCTAAAAGAGTAGAATTAGCCACAGATTCCATCTCTGTTACCTGTAGTCCTAACACCTGCATGTGTCAAACCATAAGACATGACAGCATTGTTTTTAAAATGAAATATATGAAAGCTTAATCTAGCCCTAAAACAAAACGCAATCATTTATGGACATAAGTGTGTGACAATTGAGGTCCAAACAAAGGTGCTGGGCTTCACCAATAAAGCCTTTTCTCACTGCAGCAAAGAATAAAAGATGCAGCTCTGCTTCACCCTGAAGTGTTTCTCAGCCCTGGCTGCACAGGCAGCAACAGCAAGTGAACAGAAATATTCTCTCAGCATGACAGAGCCCAAAGCCCAAGGAAGTCAGGGGCCAAGGAAGAGGGAGCAACAGCTGCTCCTGCATCATGATGCTGCTGCCACCAAAAATCTCTTAAAATTATGTATTATCTTGAAAGGTACTGGGCCTTATTACAAAACCAAGTCATGCAAAACCTAAGTTTTACAAACACTTCAAACACGTGACCCTTTAATTCTTTACACACAAGCCAAGAGAGACTAAGTACCCATGCACAATATTTGCCTTAAGCAACTCATTACAAAGGAATAAAGTCATTCATAAACACCAAAATGCATATGCTTAGGCTGTAATAAGCAACTGGTTTGCTCTAGCTGCAATACACATTACACAAAATTGTTCAATTTACATCAATTATTCTGAACAATAGAGACAAAGTCATTTCAGAGAGCACTGTCCAAGTAACATTGTGCTCCGTTATTTAGATGACATTCACCAGGATGGTAATCCTACGCTCCCTTCATTATTGTTCTAACCAACATTATACCATCACTCACAAAAAAATACCTTCAAACAGTATCACCATCTATAGAAATACCTTGGGTAATTCTGGTTTGTAATGGCATTGCTGTGTGTAGTGCAGAGAATTTAAGATGGGTGCAATGAATTAATTATCTCTCCTCGTGGACAGTAAATATTAGGAGTGAGGAGCCTTTGGTATAACTCATGCATCTGCTCTATTTCACAGTGTTTATCAGCATTTCATCTGTTCACCCATATGGGCTGCCTCATTTTTATAAGGAATTACTCAATAGTAGAGATTCATGCACTGGAACGTTCCATACACTCTTGATATGATGATTATAATTAGATGTGTGAACCAAATTGATGCTTGTGAAACCCTGAACAAATATCCTGCACAGCCATACAAGAGCTTCAAATTTTAATATACCCTAATTTATGTTTGGAGTGCTAAAACACTAATAATACCAAGGAGTAATTGGCTGGCATTTAAAAACCCTATTAAACTAAAATATGTTAACATAAACCTGTTGTTATTCCACTTCCCTCTGCTTTTTACTCTGGTCTGAAAACTCAGGCACCAAATAGAGTCACTGTCTGGGAAAATCTTGTGATATTGTTGGAGCCTCTAGAAGCAATTTTTTTCTTTCTTTTCCAACACAACCAGTTTCATCCATTCATTTTCTAGACATACTTTCAGTGACACAGCCTGACCTTCACCACCCAAGTGATTGCTTGGAAAAACCTTTGCCTGAAAAAATCCACATCCTCATTTTGTGAGTGCCAAGATGGCACTGGGACACGGCTGCTACGTCCCAACCTCAGTCTGACCCTTGGGGGCTGCTCTCCTCGCTCAGTGTGAACAGATAAACATGTCCAACAACAGCTCGAGCCAAGTTACACAGAAACCCTGACAGTGGTCACAGGAATCACACAACACTGAAATTCACACAGCACTGAAAATATTTTTCCATGAAAGTTTATCTGTGTGACCTAAAATGTAAGAGGCTGCAGAGGTTTCCTGTCACACCCTGCTTCCATACCCAGGCCATAAAGTGCTACCAGCTCCAGTCTCATCATTTAACTCCTACCTACATCACTCACCACACTCAACAGAATATTTTTGTGATAGTTTCTAGAGAAGTTTTGTTTCTTTTCCTTTATTAAAAAAAAATAAACAGGAAAAAAATCTTACTACTTTGTCTTTCACAGTTTAGGGAAACTTCTTCACTCCTTTAAAGCTATTTCAACTGTCAGGATGAGCACTGTGCTTAGATAAATCAAGGGCAGCAATAACTGGGCTCATAATTCCCTCTTTAAAGGAATCACAGTTACAATAATGGGTTCTATTCATGGGGTCCATATGTTTTCAGGTATAAAACAGAGGCCTACAGCATCAGGAGCTTACATAGGTATCAAAGCAAAAGCATATGCAACTACAAAATGAGTGACTACAGTGTCTTAACATGTACTGTTGATTTCTTAAAAAATATTGGTAGGTCATTTGAACAGAAATGTAACTAATCTAATAAACATCTCTTTAAGGACATCCATTAAAAGCCAGAGATGCTTTCTCCAAATGAAATTTAAAGTACAAAACAAAAGACAGACATAAGAGATTAATTTCCAAAGATCCACTCATAATGTCTATTACTGATTTTCATAAGCAGTTTTCAAATTGGCAAGGATTTTTTATCACATATAGTTTCTATTCTCACAGCAGAATCATGACACATACACAAATGAATATTTTTAGCCAGGACAAAGCACCACACCCTCACACCCAACTCAGCAGTCCCAATGCCACCTCCTCAGCAGTAGCCTGGTGCTCTTTTCTGGTAGCATCTGACAGGCAGCAGAGGAGCCCCACATGTTTAAAAACCAGATGTGACTGCTGGTAGGGTGAAATGGGCTTTTGGTTTCAGTTGCAGTGACAGTAACAGGTGAACAGTGAGAAAAAGTGTCCTGAGGCATAGCAGACAGCTCATTATTGAATGGGAGCTTGATAGAACCTGTTAAACACACAGAGAAACTTTTTAATTAAAGCTATTAGAAACATAAACCCCATCATTGAATTCTAAGGGAAAAAAGCTTGTCTGGGTTTTGGATTGTTTGTTGTTGGTTGTTGTTTATTGTTTGGACAGTGTTGGGTTTTTTGGGTGAGGGGTATTTTTTTTCAGGGGGAGGTTTGTAGCGGGTTGAAATTTTATATAGCCAGAAGTCAACACCATGCTTTATTAGCTCCTGGTTTGGGTAATGAATATACTAATGAGTTTTCTTGGCTTGGCAGTGAGTGATTGTTTTTTAAAGCTGCAAGTGAGGCAGCTGGTAGCTGCTCTGCAGAGGGGAATTCATCTGTGCCTTACCCACAACATCACATCCCTCTAGTGAGCACCAGCTCCAAACAAACGCTACATCAAAGACTCAAGATAATTTGTGCTGCTTCATATCCTTAGTGAAAGTTTCCAGCAATTATTTTTTGTAAAAAAGAATAGAAGTTTCATAGTAATTAGGCAGCCAGGTTTAGGAATTTGTAGAAAAAAGTATGGGAATCTATGTACTCCCTATCATGATTATTTCATTATCTGTGTATACATATATATTTCTATCTCTTCCCAAGAAAATTTAGGCATTTCTTTGGAATAAATATATTTATGTGAGTGCATGTGTGATAATATACATATTTTCACAAGAATCTGAGTGTGCAGTATCTTGACAAACCTTTTAAATTTTAATGCTTAATTTCATACTGACATTTTAGTTTCCTGTGAGAGGTTCTGAACGTGACAGGAATTTCAGCAATGTAAGACTGCCAAAAGGCTTTTACCTGCTTGAAAAAGAACTAATAGAGCTATTATTGTTTAATAAACAATATGCCTGTACCCCAGATAGCTCCTCTGAATGAATTGAATGTCCCAGAGGAACTGGATTCAGCATCATTTTTACATGAGATGCGCAGTTCTTCTCATGAATGACTTTTTTTTTTCTTTTTAAGCAACAGATATTTAATTGAATGTAATTAAATCACTCTACAATCAACACAGGTTTTAATAGCAAAGTGCTCCTTGATGAGTTTCATAAAGCAGTGTTAGTGAAAATCACATGAGCAAAGCAATGGCCCCAGCTCTTAGGTACACATGGCAATTTCCCCATCAGCAGGAGTCTGGGTAATATTCATGAAAAACATTTTAATAGATTAGGTTTTTGTTGGGATTTATTTTGTCTGTCTAGGCCAAACGAGACTGATATATATTTAAAAATTCTTCTTATTAACATTACAGCACATATTTATGAACAGCACCCTTGCAACCTCTTTTATTCTGACTTCAGCTACAGAAGAGCCTTACTGACTTGTACTTTGATACTCAGTAATAGTCACCAAAAGACTCATGTAATTTTCATTACACTAACTCGATAGGAATCATTTAACAAGCACAAATCTGTCCCTAGTTTTTAAAGGAGACATGCAAAACCTTAATGCTGCTATGGATTGATACATGTTAACACATCTCCACTTAGTGCCTCATTTGGATGTTGTTTGAGGTCAGGATTTATATTTGATGGAATCAGTGACATTCAACAGAAAAATCTGAGCATTTGTACAGAAATAAAGTAGACTCTAATTTCAATAATCTAAACTTAAAACTGATTTCCAGAGCAACACAGTATTTATGTTGTTTAATATTACTGCTCTTTGAAAGATGACAATGGCTTTTTATTTGCTTTGCATATATCTGTTCTGCTAACTGCACATTTGGAATATATGTATTTATTTCTTTCCAGACACCCAGGACAGGCTGCAAAGCCTGTGTAAATGTTCCTACTAAATTCTTATCTGTATGGACAGAGTCCATCAATAGTTACAGGAACAAGACTACTAGACCACATAATAATGTAAGCTAATCACCTTTGAAATATTTTGAGGTCAGCTCAAGAAATAACCAGAATCAGGGTTAACAGCCCCCAGCCTGGTAAATCACTTGGGCATTTCCAAAGCCTTCCTAAGTAACCATTTCTTGTAGCCAAGTCTGCCCGTAACTTTTAACTTGTTTTATCAAAAACAGCTCTCCAGTCTTGCTTTACCTTGTTTTCCTTTCAGTGAATATTCACCAGAAGAGGCACGAGGACAAATCATGCAAGCTTGAAGGACCCTACCTGCTATGAGGACAGCTACTGCCAGTAAATACCAGTTTAGGGAGCTTTGAACTAAAAACTGTACACAATACACAGAAAGTTTGGCTTTATGTGACAAATTGCATCACAGCAGCATATTCTCAACTAAATCACACCATGGTCCTTCACACTATATCAACAAAACTCAAGAAAAGGATAACATTTGGGATTCTGTTCAGAACTCCCATCCTGGCTCTATTTAGAGGTACTGTATAACAACTTTGAAACTACTCATCCATTCTCACCTTCAGGCAGTTTTCCTACAATGCTGGTTTTATGGTGGCACTAAAGTCTCCATGTACCAGCAGCTTCCACGAGTATGGAAGTTTTATTATCAAGTGAAAAAAGTGCTGATACACAAAATTACTGTAGGTTTAGCACCTGCTAAATTGACACTGCTGTATCTGAAGCTGATCTGAGTCTATAGACTGGGGAAATTGAGAGTAGTAATATGACAGGTTTGATTGATTTAAGCACTAGGCTGATTTCAGCAGTGATAAACTGATCATAGTTTTCCTCTTCCCTACCCAAGAATGGTTTTGTTTTCTAAAATGACTTTCAGACTTTAACTTGGCTACAAATGTGAGAACTCTTTTTACTCTTTGTTTCTTTTCAACAGTCAAGCATCATTTCTTATGAGCCCTTTCCTAAACCTAACATCAGGTCATTCATGAAAGTATTTAATTTTGTTTACATGGTTTTTCATTTTCAGTAAATTTATTGTTTTGACAGTTTCATAAATCAGACACTTCAAAAAGTGTTTTTATTAATATGCCCTGAAAAAGACCATGACATTTACAAAGACAAAAGTTACACTTTCATTAATTTAATAATTATTGCTGCCACCAGATACTTAGAGAACCTTTTTTATCACTAGGATAAAATAAAAGGTATTTCAACAAACTACATATAACCAGCTACTTTTAGAGATTTTTTGATTGCATACAAAAACTCCATCAACTGCAGTTACAGCACCGTGTGGGAAACAGGGTATAAGTTTTCAAAAATGTCCTTGCTGACCAAGAATTCAAAATATTTGTTATTTCTAAACTTTAAAAAAATACAAGAGCTTTACTTCATGAAAATCAGATCAACACTTCAGTTAGAATAAATTCCAAGAAAGTTTTTTAAAAGTCCTGAATAATGATATCTCAAAATGGACCCACATTGAACTGATTAAATCAGCGTAATAAAACATTGAAATATCCCTTAAAAAAGCTGAATTTCCCTTAAATGAGGCTAGCAGCACCATAAACAAAGATCCAGGAATTATCCCAAGAAAAAGAGCCCTAAGAAGGTGAAGAAATTGCTTTAAGAATGGGCAAACAGCTACTTTAGCAGGAAAGAGTTCAAAGTCTCCCCAGCAGGGTTATGACCGTGGGGGCTGCCCATAAAAACGCTCTGTGTGCAGGACCAGCACACCCTCCCCGGATGGGGCACAGAGCTGCACACAGCCTCAGCCCATGCAGCAGCAGCAATCTGGTTCAGCTGGCTGTTACTCTGGCCTCCCACTCCCACCCAAAACTTCCTAGATCATTCCTTGGTCGGTTTCTGAGCACAGGATCTTTGGAGAGGACTCATGAGAAGGTTTAAAGGGTAAGAAAGCAGAACCCTTGCTTTTTTTAATAACAAACTTTCAGCCTTGAAACCACCTTGCTACTTTACACTAAAGCCCTTGGGAGAAGATGCTCAAGTAGTTCATTTATAGAATCGAGAAGAATGAAAAAATAAAATAAAAAAAAATCCAGAGTGCAGAAAAGATCTCACAAACATTTATCTCCAATAGTGCCTTCTCCACCTGTGTTTGACAGAGGGTCCTGGAAGTTTTTGAGTCTGCCTGGAGCAGCAAGTGTAGTGAGGTAGATGTTGGCAATGCCTTTTTACAGCAGAACCATCTGCAGGGTGCCAGTGCAGACCCAGTGAGAGGAGAACAGCTTTAGAGCAGCTGGGACACCTTGCCCATGGGCATAGAGTACTTATCACCCTAAAAACCACAGCGTTTTCCTGCTGAAATAAAATTATTGTCGCTACTTTAGCGATCAGGAATAGAAACAGCAGCATGTGGGAAGCGGCGAAAGCCCAGAGCTGCACGTTTGTGCCAGGCAATGAGGCAGCACCATAATCACAGAATCATCTTCCCATAGCCTGCAGCCTCAGCCCCACGGTGCTGGAGCTGCTCCTTTAACCTGCACCAGAAGGATTTACACAGACACACCCCAGCATGGTTCTCTTGCTATAACAAATGCACTAAAACTTCCTCCTGCTCTCCACTGACTCGGGCGTTTATCCCAGACAAAGACACATAGATCAAAATCCTGTAAAACCCATAAGACTACGGATAGCAGGCACCATACCCATATAATTCTTCATAAGTAGCAGAGCTGCCAAATCCTACCTAGCACAGTTCCAGCACTGCTCTGAGATTAGCATGAGGCTGAGTGAGATGCATCTGCATTTTATTCAATTCCTGTTTTTAAAAACCAAACCATACAGAAATCTTTTTCTACCTTTATTAAATCAAACGTACATGCAGGGAAAATAAAAGTACAGATGCATCATTTGAATACACAAATACAGTTTCCACAGAAAACTGTGAATCAGGTTTCTTCTGCTGTTATAATTTACAATTACTTATCACGTTAGCTCCTAATTGTCTTTTCAGAGTGCACTCAATTACAAAATTAGAATGCTTATCTTCCTGTAACAGCCACCTTCTAGACAGATCCACAGAAAATGTGCAAATTGACTAGAAGAATATTTTTCCTTATACTGTTCCTGTTCACCAAAATGTTGTCCTAAATCCAAGCTTAAGTATGTTTCTGTTTTTCTGCTAAAGAAAGCAAACCAGCTGCTGCCTGGAAGTGGCTTATTAGCCATTTGCTTAGACAGAGACCAGGTAGTGTCATGGATCAATTCTTTTACACAAAATCATAATTTTGTCTTGTTTTTTTAAGACTGACTTTTGGCAGTAAGACATTTTCAATATCCCCTTTTCGTACTGACAGCAGTCATTCACTCCAAATAACGGAGGAAGAAACAAACATTTACTATTTCCCCATCTCTTTTAAAAAGCAGGGGGAAATTCTCAATGTTTTGTTCCACCCCCTTGTTTTATGGATGTGGTCATCCACTTCAAAAGGGCTGAAACAATCAGCAGAAATCACTCCCTGCTTTGACTGAAGCATTAATAGATACTCCTCACATACCATTGACTCATGCTGAGCAGGAGGGTAAAACAAAAGCACACCAAAATCCTCTCCATCTTTTGAAGGAGGCTGTTTTCCCCAGCTAATCAAACAGGATGAAATGCAGAGCTGAGGTTGCCAAGGCCCAGAGCTGGATGCTTTGCAGCTTTAAATGCGTCTCAGACACACTGGATGTATTGTGATCGAGAAAATAAAACCTGAGCACCTTTCAAAGTCTGCCAGGATCAAATCTATGTTTCATCCAAAGCAGGAAAACTTTGACATCCTACAAATTCAAGTGGTAATAGCCTGTGAAAAAGGACAGTTAAATATTAATGCCTGTACAAATAACCAGCCTCATTCATTTGGAGTGCCATTTATTTCCCTCTTCCATGCTCTCCTGAATGTATTTGCATTTTCTTCTTAGAGGAGACCTAAGTAAGGCTTTCCACCCTCACTCATAAAATATCTCACTCCAGCCTGGTTTTCCACGTCTCTCCACTGACATACACGTGAGCAGCCAGGCACGAGGGGCTGAGTGCCAGCACTGCCTCAGAGCTATGGAAAAGGAATGTGCACACACCTGCAGATTTGCACATCAGTGTTAGTCTCCCTGATGTGGGAGCCCCTGTTTCTGGCTCAGACTCTGTCTGGACACAGCTCCCCAAGGAGAGATCCTCACTGCCCTCCAACACGGACTCAAGGCTGAACACATCCCTGCTCCAGCTGGACAAACAGTGCTTAGCTGTGGACCTGAGGCTCCACCACCGCTGCTTGAAGGCTTCCTGGGATTCTCTTACTGGACTTGATGGTTTTAACAGCGAGGAAATGGTGGAAAGGGGTTTTTAGGATGGTACACTTGGATAAGCAGCATTATTCTGTCAGTCTGGCTCTGTGTGTTGCAAGAAAGGCATTGGAAAGACACATGGAGCAGACAGCAGAACTGCAACTCTAAATGACGAGAAATACATTGGAAAGGAGGTAAAATTCTACAGTTTCAAGTGAGTCAAATTTTTAGTAGCTTTCAGATATGAACAGAAGTCCCTAGGAAAGCCCAGGGTTGTGTTTGGGTAGCCCTTCATTAACATGCATTTAATCCACTTTCCAGCCTTTACTTTCCATGACATTTTTGCCATTTTGTAAAGGTAGCTGCATAATTTTGCATACATTTAAGGGAAATGGTCAATCATTATTAATTCCATTGGTATTCTCAGTGCTAACAGTAACCATTATTAACCTATTTGACAATATTGCAGGTTCCTTTAGTATTAATGTGATTGTAATATGTAAATCTATAGGAATTCAATTGTAAATTACCATTATTCAATGTACTTAGCTTCAATGCATAATTCTGCAATTTGTGCAGAAGGAAATTACATGTTGATTCATAAGACATAACTTTTCAGGGCTTCATAAAACCAAATGTGAACAATTTGTACCTATAATTATATTAAAATGTAAGTGAAATATATAATGCAGCTACATTAAAGGAAATATACTGTTTATATCCTTAGCCATGTTGCTTAGAGGAAAATGCTTCATATTAAACTAGCTCTTTGCATCAGCTACTCACGTAACACAGATTTACTTATAAGCCAGCAGGATGCCAACAGGAGTAAAGGCCTTAATCTAAAGAATATTAAAGAGGAAGTTTTGACAATTTGAGTTTTAAACATATTACTTTTCAATCTAACATAAAAACCTTCAAGGGCCTGTTCCAAAGTCAGTCCCTGGCTTCAGGGTACATTGGATGACATCCTGGCAAAATCCTTCCCTTGTGGGGAAGTCATACAAGGAGCAGCTGAGGCCACTTGGTCTGTCCAGCCTGGGGCAGACTGAGGTCAGAGCTCTCCTGGGGCTGCAGCTCCAATCTCTGCTCCCATGACAGAACCCAAGGGAA